TTCTCAATTTCCCGAACAGCATCCCGGATCCGCCATACAGACTGATCGTACAACTTCACTATCTCGTCAATCAATGGCACATGCATGCAAAACGGATCTTTCAAGTCCAGCGGGGACATTTTCTGGAGGGATGTCTTCAGGTCATGGCGTAACGCTTCTGGCGCATCAACACATAATATCCGGCAACAGTTGGGGCTATCCCATCTGGTGAAGACACCGATTTCATGCCATTTGTAGTCAATACTTAGCCCATACGTCACCTTTTGACCGTTGATTAACTTTACCAAGCAACGGAACCATGTAACTAATGCTGTGATTAGCTTTCTCAATGGGGGCTACGCAGGGAGGGACAGCGGGAAGAATGACATACTTACCATAGGTTTGCAGCTTATTGTCCTTGTCATAAGTTCCCCTGCATCCAAAATACCCATTCAGTTTAGTGCATGTATCGTTCATCACGAAAGGAGGTACGCTGAAGTGCCGCAGAATCGTTGCACGATCATGTTCTGATTGTGGATACGAACCCGCATCAAGAAACCTGATGAACGACAAAGTTTGTGTTATAAGCGACGAGCATCCCGATATTATTCAGATTCCAGTCAGAAAGTGCCATCCATACAAGTAGCATATCTCCGGAAGAGTTGTGGTCTATTTGATCGGCTTAGTTATCCATTTCCAAGTGTGAAGTCCATACCTTCAAAAGGTCAATTTCCCCAAATTGCCAGCTTCCGTGCTCTGCAAAAGGCTCTCATTAGCTCAGTGCCCCTGGCCAAGCGAAATGAAGCTGAGAAAAATTGGCACCGCGATTCTCCAAGGATGCTGCCATGCAATTCAGTGTCGCCATGAGTTGTGGCTTCACGTCCGATGAAGGCGGGCGAGCCTTTGTTGTGCCTTTTGAGGACTCGTGGTTCTGAGATAACTGGTATCGACAGTTTCATAACCGCTTGGTTTTCGACCCTCAGATTGACGAAATTGATCCTTAGAAGGGTTTGAGTAAGGTAACTACCAAGGAGTTCGGAGTCCGACATTTTAGGATACGTTTGGAGCTCCGGTCTCAGTATGAGGCTGGCTTTAATGCAGGGGCGCTGACATGCTGGCGCTAACTAGGCCACCAATAGTATTGGCATAAATAAGAATACAAGAATAGAAAGAAACTAACAAAGTGTTAGGCAGCTCAGCCTTGTCCATTAGGCAACACTTTTGTGCACATGTACCGAGTAACTGTGCGCTATGGATGAGGTACTTAACTCTCCTCGCGCCTGTTCCGAGTAATAAAATAGGATGGACTAAGTTCCTGCGTACTAAACAACTCGTCAGTCAAACTCTCGAATTCCTTGCTCAGCATTTCAATCGTGCTTCTCCCTATGAAATTGGTTTGTAAGGATGTGAGCTTAATTGCTACTTCAAGCATCGAACTAATTATAAAACGAAAGCAGATACGGTCTGGATATCCTTTATCCGTGTACAATATTGGGCTCTCCTCCATGCATATTCCCTTGAATATACTCCTAATCCCAGAGTAACTGTCCCCAGGACAGCCGTGATGTCCTAATTACCGCTCTTTTACTGATAGCGGCGGCAGTGGTTAGTACGGTTGACAGGCCCTATGTATTGTTCCATGACAGGGCTACTTAGATGCTACTTATACATATGTTGAGCTACTCCTTCCACTCATCTCTGCCTAGTTTGACAATATCACCCATTTCCAGAACCCAATATTTCGACGGGGCCTTCCCCTCTTCAGCCATACGGGCAGCTGCTACGGCTGCTCTGGCAATGACAGTCTGATCCTGACCTGCACACCACGAGTCAGTTCAGGGTATTAAAACAGTTAGCAGCAATCAGGCTGGTCATACCAAGCTTGTCCTGGACGCCCTGTCCCAGCTTATTCAGGTTCCCCACGATGCTCTCCAAGAGCGCAGCTTTGGGATTCTCCCTTCCGATAATCATACCCGGCCTCAGGATAATAGCATGCTCGAAGCCAAGTTCCTGGATGGCATCTTCTACGCCAATCTTCATCTTCGAATAAGGCAGGTAGCGAGCAAAAAGCCCTCGAATGCCTGCACCCGAAATGAACACGTACGTCTTGACCCCCGCCTCCTTGGCTGCTCGGGCGTTCTCGATACATAAGTCGTGGTCGATCTTCCACTGATTCTGGAGCCCACCAGCTGCCGCTCTTGTGGTGCCGACTGCGTTGAAGACGACTGACGGCTTGGGTGAGAAGGAGGAGATCATGCCGCCCCATTTGGACGTGTCGCCTTCTTTGATGGCTTCGAGCTTGGGTGACTGGACATTTGGAAGTCTCCTTGAGATTGTTTTGACGGGTGAGAATGCGTCTGTGGCGAGGAGTGTAGCGAGAATTTGAGAGCCCACTGCTCCTGTACATCCGAACACTGCTGCCGTCGTCATGACAAATATTATATCCGAATATTCGTATCTTTGGGTACTGTCTGTTTCCAATAGAAATATCTACAAGTGAGAAGAGAAGAGGGGTGGGACTACGAAAAGAGGGAATGACGTCGATAGCAGACAGGATAAGTTGATAACAATAGGCCACAGCGCTGCTGACGCTTCCTCATGGCAGCTGCTCACGTGATTCATTACCAGTATCAGCCAGAAACCCCAGGTGTCCAGATGTAACAAACATGCACTGTGAGCTCGAGCAATAGCTACTATGCTTGCTTATCAGGGTCTTTGAAAATACGGTTGGATTGGAACTATTCATCTCTGGATCGTAAGCGTAGTGTGTGTCACTGTTGGATGCGATCACTGCAACTAGGGGTATAGGTCATGCTATGTATATGTAAATGCTGAATTTCGCTGGTATATATTGGCGCCATTTCCCTATTACTGGCTGCTTAAGATATTCTGTGTTACCTTTCTTTTTTTGCTTTTCTTGCAAAGCATCACAAGGTCTGAAATTACAACTCCTCCATTCATATATCCTAGAGACAGACAAAGCAGAGACTTGCATCATCGGTGTAACTTGAGTCTTTACTGACGTGAGAAGCAGGATAACTTCAAGGACTGGTAACCTTGTTCAAAGGAGGAACCAGCCTTAGCATACGGTTATCAACCGCCCTGAATATCTTCTGAGAGCCCTTCGGCAAAAGCACGACGGATGATAACAATGAGACGCGAGGATGTGGAGTCCTATTGAAGTGAAGCCGTACCCCTTCTGGACTCCGACTAGATTGTCCTCAACCTGGTGCTTGGCATATTCCTGATCTCTCTCCACCCGATTATCGTCGCAGGCGCCCCCGAATGTACGGCTCGATTTCAAAGTCCGCCGACGTCTCCTGGTACAATCATATGGTAACTCGTACCCATAGAACTCGATTAAATGAGCTAAATGTATTGACATCTGTGTTACACCTGATTTGCAAAAATGGTGCAAAACGTTTATATTCTTGTCCTTTCTAAAGCCCTAAGGCTGAACTACATTCAGGAAAGCTTTGGAACAGCTATAATCTGCGTAAATGACGAAAATGGCCAAGACAGCGAAGTGAAATATTAGCGTAAGGAACGCGTGGTGTAACACCTGATACGGAATCCAGATCTTGAACTTTTGAAGGTTCCATGCAAAGCGATTAATGGTTATCATGTGTTGAACATTATACCACCATGATTATGGATATGAACCCCTAGACTGACGAGTACAAAGTCCGGACGCCTTTTTGGCCTAGTGATATTATTCAATATCATGTTATCAAGAACCTTCCAGGTAATGGCCGCATTATACATTTTGGCCAGACCATGTATATTCAAAGAAGGGTCAATATCAAAGGCGGATCGTATTTGATACAATACTATAGGATGACAGTCATCGATTACCTTGGGGTTAAGATATGCATTAGGTGAAGGCAGCAATGTGTATATGGCTATACCCAACTTCAATGATTTAAGTAACAGGATGGTGAAGTAAACAGGTCATGTTATGAATTATTTCACGTCAGATAGTAGACGGAAGATATTGCTGCAAGCTGACAGATATCCCTCCTGATGCTCCTTTACAACCAACAGATTTGCCTTGTACTTTGACTTGCACACACGGCGGGATAGATGGACCGTCGAAGCATACTCCCACTGATATTCTTGCCCTCTTTCCATCATCATCTTATGCAGGATCATTTCGTGCAGAAAGTGTTCGCTGCCGTGAAGGCGCCGAAGTAAAAAGGCAGGACACCCCCCGAATCCCCAAGGCAGCTCAGCCGCAACTTTAATTGAGGCGACTGAAGGAAAGAGAGGGAATGCCTTGGGCTGAGATTGCTGGGCACTTCCCTGAACGAAGCGCATCCTCCCTCCAAGTCCACTACTCAACCAAATTACGCCACAAGGCAATCACTCGAGCTCAAAGGCTACGAAGACGCCGATGAGAGGCACTAAACTGGACAACGCCCAGGCCAAAGTCAGTCCACCTGAAAGAGGCGCCCTTATTAACCAATCTTCGACGCCCCGAGGGCATTACCAAGAAAGCGGAATGCGTCAGATCTGGATACTGCCACTTCCCGCGAGGTCGAGCGCTCCAGTCATCCTGAGGAATCAGCGTCCCCATTTTCGTTATCCAGTCTTCATCCAGATTGCGCCTTCATCTTCACACAGAGTAGAGCGCGGCTATCCAAACCTCATTTCAGATTCTCCTCAATTGGTTGGCGTCGTGTCCCTAAAAATAGCCCGACAGGGTCTGCTGAATATGGAACACATGAGGCATTTGGCTGCGAGAAGAAGTGTCAACACTAATCCGGCGCTTATGTCTAGAGCTATACAAATATCTGTGTGAGTTTGGAGAAAAACCTATGTAAGTGCACAAAGAGGCATCGACCGGAGCTTTCTCTTTGTGTTCGGATGGCGAAATCCGTTGAGGACATGGAGCTTTCAAAGATACAGGAGTCCTACAAATACAGCCACTGCAGATATAGTCTATAGAAAATTGCATAGTCCGATAAATTCCAAAATTCAAACAGATGTTGTACAAAACCAACCTAATGATCTCCTCTCCCATGGCTTTGTGTATTTTTGCCTTGTTTTTTTCTGTTACTGCCGCGTCAGCCTACAGCCTTCATCCCTCTCAGTATTCAAGCAGCAATGTGATGTACCGCGACGTTGCCGTCATTGGCGGCGGTGCAGCCGGGACCTATCCTGCCATTCGACTGGGCGACCTGGGCCAGAGTGTGGTGTTGATCGAGAGGAAGGCTGTTCTGGGAGCCAAAACTGAGGCCTACCAGGATCCTTCCAACGGCAATATCATTGACTACGAGGTAGAGTACTCTCTGCTATATAAGGCTATGTCTACTTTAGGCATTCTAACTAGTAACTATGGATATTTACTCCTTGCCTACTCCACCCCTTAGCTAGATAGTTAGTAGTAAGTTATCTAATATCATTACATTTGTGACTACAGGTGACCTCACCCTTTATTGAGCTCAGTCAACCTTTATGTTGGAGACATGCCATGTGATCAGGGGCTTTCTTATTCACTGTTTCACCTTAGCCACGTTCGCCCGACCTCCACCGAAGGGTGAGGTCACCTGTAAGTTGTAACCTGGTTGATAGTAAATTAGATCCCTGATCTGCTCTCCATCACATGACAGCCTTGTCATTGCTCTTCTATATATAAACAGTCATCTAGGCCCATCTTATGATCAATTCTGATGATTTCCATCAGATTACCCTGCAATAATCATTAGATTAACAAGATCCAATCTGCCAAATTAAAGAAGAAATGACTTGCCCAGCCTCGCCTGCCACCAGTCACTATGGCCCCGACCCCAACAACCACCCTGACCAAAAAGAATTATCCCACATCATCAGCAACCTAGACTTTGGCTCAGACGGCACCGCTCCCCTTGTTATTGGTACCGATGGTGTCCTCCGAACTCTGACAGAAGACTGCGAGGTGATAGATGCCATTGGCCTTCCACCTCGACTGCTTAAAGCTTTTCTCGATCGGACTCCATTTGACCAGGGAATGGAAGACATGTTTCGCGGGGCAGATGGAACGGAAGTGCCTCGGGAGCAGTGGTGGAAGCCAGATCCATCATTATTACCGCCACCAATGACAGCGGAGGAGAAAGCACGGGTCGAGAAGGATAATGAGGAGCACAAGGAAATAATCCAGGAGAATATTAGGAAAAGGGAAAGAGGTGAAGTGAAACCGTGCGGCGTTGTTATTCGGTCTGATCATGATATCAGTCCAAGGTAGAGAGGTTTCTACCATTATCTGTCATAACGATTCGTGATATTGCATGCCAGTTTTACTTTTTACCTTTGGTAAATTTATATTGCTAGAAAGGTTCTTCCCATTGTAAAGCCTCCTTCAGTACGTTTGATGACCTCCCCGTAGAGTAGCTCGAATACCCGAGAAAGAAGTGGGCTACTGTTTCTTGCGTAACCCTTATTGAATCATGGTTATAAGGAAAGTTCTATTTCCTAACTGCTCTATGGGAGAGTTAGTAGCTCGAAAACGACCCGGATGCACCTGCATGTTGACGACAGCATTCAATGTTACTGTCCCTGACAACGCTCTTCGTCCAACCAATTTTTATTAGCTGCTGTTGGCTTTGTCCTAACGCGGCCTTTCCGGGTTCGGCAATGTTGACACTATATCTAAGAGAGTGAGGCATTTTCTTACATCGGCGCGGCATCGCAGGCATCAGATAGAGCAGGTCAATGAGGTATTATCCATTGCCAATCAACTTTCGTTGTAGCTTAATGCTATGTAGCTGCCTGGCTAACCCTGTAGACCAGGAGTATGGGTAACATAGCCAATGAGCCAGGGTAGTTTAACTGCCTATAATAGATCTAAATACAATATGGCATCTCCTATGAAGATATCTACAACTTTAATGAAACGGGCTTTGCAATGAGCTTGATTGCAACTACTAAGGTAGTAATAAGACCTAATATGCCTAGAAAGCCTCATCTTATTCAGCCAGGCAATCAGGAATGGGTTATAATGATTAAATGTGTTAATACTACTGGCTGGGTGCTTCCATCTTGTATAATCTATAAGGGGAAGGTTCATATTAAGGGATAGTATCAAGATCATACCTTACCACCTAACTAGAGAATTAAAGTCAGTTAAAATGGATGGATAAAAGATAAGATAGGCCTTTGGTGGCTTTAAAAGGTCTTTATCCCTGCAATAACTAGCTATATGGTTGGAAGATATCATCTACTCATCTTAGATGGCCACAGAAGCCATCTAATACCTAGTTTTAACAAGGTCTGCAGGGATAATAATATTATCACTATCTACATGCCTGCTCATTTATCTTATCTCTTATAACCACTAGATGTTACTTATTTTAGCCCTTTAAAGCATGCTTATAGAGGCCTTGTTAAGCAAAGGATGCGCTTAGGATATAACTATATTAATAAGTTTAACTTCCTTAAAGCATATCCAGCAGCTCATCTAGAGGTCTTTACACCTCTAAATATTTAAAATGGCTTCACAGCAGCTGGAATCCACCCTTTAAAGCCAGAGAGGGTGCTTAAGAAGCTAAATATTAATATCTTAACCCCTACCCCCCCTCCAAGCCGTGCAAGCTAAACAACCAACTCATCTTAGCTTGCTACACCTCATACACTTCAGCAATTATATAAGCAAGAATCTTCAGTCAAGAAGCTCCTAAAACAGCGATCCCAAAGCCCTTCACAAAGAGCTATACAGCAGCTTATTAAGGGTTGCGAGATGGCTATGTATAGTGCAGCCCTACTAGCAAAGGAGAATCATGATCTATATATAGCCAATGAGAAAGAGAAGCAGAAAAGGAAATAATCTAGACATTAGATGACTCCTAATAAAGGACTCAGTATACAGGAAGCTAGGGATCTCATTCAGGCAAGAAATGAGCAAGGGAATGAGGTTGAGGGGTTATTAATTAATTCTGCGCCTTTACCTTTAGAACTACTAAAACGCACCCCACTAAGGTGTTTAAATTGCTTTGTTATAGGGCATATAAGAGTTAGATTCCCTACACGCAATACTAGCTAGATCCAATGAAATAATATTCTATTTTGATTTATTTGGATAGCTTCGAAAGTGTAAACGCGTTGAAATTGGATGGGGGTGGCAGGCTCACCCGGGAACTACGTTAGTTAATGTTGGAATATTATACCACTATGATTATGGGTATGAAACCCTAGACGGATGAGTAACATAGTCCGGTCGCCTTTTTGGCCTAGAGGCTGCTATACGAACTTAGGTGCTTCCCTTCATCGACTCGCTATGAGTTGCTATATAAGTGAGCCACTTGACAACCTTGTCACTGATATGCTCAGTCCGCTGCCTCATTTGATAGCCATCGATCTGCCTGCTTTATTGTAGTTGAGCCCTGATTACGAGGTGACTCACTCTCCGACAGATCAATGTCCTAATTGGTATCCCGACGCAGCAATGTACGAGGTGACTCACCCGTTGTGGTTCCACCCACAAGTACACGATCCACGTTAATACGTAATTAACGCCTATCAAAAGAGGGATTGAGTCAAATGATTAGGACTGGCGACCCAGCATCGCCTAGACTATACGAGGGTAGGCGTGCTATCCATGGCCATGGCAGGGGTTCACCCTACTGTAGCATGAGACAAGCTGTGCACCTTTTCGCAATGGGTAGAGAAATTATGAGCAACAAGGCGTGAACTGTGTTTTTTCAATGGATTATCGAGTACCCTACTGCAGCTATATAAACCCCAGTAAAAGCCCACAATGACAAGGAAGGCAAGGACAACAAAGTTCAATATCAACCATTTCCTATATTTGTAGATCAGGTAAGATACTCCTCTCTTCCACTTCCCTGCAGGCTGGTTTCCATGATGAATATACCTTTCACTCGCCGAAATGAAGGCATCCTTTTTGCTTAAGTTGGATGTCTTTGTGATTATAATTTGAGGTTTCTGAAATTTTCATTACATGCTACTTCTTGATATTTCAACATGTGGTTCTGGAGCATTTTGCTGATGAATGTCGCATAAATAGTGAGAGGGACAGCAGGCTCCCGAGGCTGAAGTCTTCCAGCTTTATTGAATGCGCAACTCGATACCGTTCGAAAGTCTCCGGCAACATCAAAGTAACACACTTCATATTGATAGACAATCACATTCAGGAAAATGAGGTTAGGAGAAGATTTCTGAAAGGTATGCGCAGCATGCAAAGCCAACTTCAGCAACCATTGCTGCTGTACACACCGCACCTATATGCCTGCTACTGTGCGGCTGGCTACAAACACTGGGAATACCATGGATTCGCCGATGAGCACGTCGAGCCACTCGCACAAGCGGTAGGCCCCGTCCAGCCACTGCCACCACACTGGCCATATTTAGTTTGAGTAGCACCAGCAGTCGGAGCAGTGGTGATGGTACTTGTCTGCGAGGTCGTAGCCGTTGTGGTCGCGCCAGAAGACGGCGCACCGCTTTCCATCTCGAAAGAGCTAACTAGCACACTTCCACCAAGTGACGCAGTAGCATAGTTGAAGATGCCGTACCGATAGCCCATGAAGAACTGCCAGGTATTGTTCAGCGTGTACGGTGTCCCTATAGAGTGGAAGCTGGAGCCATCTGTGCTGTAGTAGAATGACGCCGTCCTGCCGCTGCCGGGCTGGATGTTGGCGTATGCGCGCAGCCAGATCTTGGACGGGCTTCCGGAGAGGTTGACGCCCGCGACCTCGGAGCCCGTTGAGAGGGTGTTCCAGTTGGTGTCCATTGTGAGTCCTGCGACCATGCTTACGCGGAAGACGCCGCTGTTGTTGATGACGGCGACGTATGCGGAGGAGTCGCGTAGCATGGCGAGGCCGCTCCGGTCGCCGGCTTTCATGTTGCTGATTGTCAGCTCGATTGTTGCTGTGGAGGCGGGGCCTAGGATCCGGTGTGAGAGGGTGTTTCGGGCTGCATAGAAGTTGGTGGTCACGGTGGCGGTCTTCAGTGTCAGACCGTTGTTTACGCTGTAGTAACGGGGGTCTGGGTTGTGGTTCCACTCCCATTGAGGGCCCAACGTGGTGCCCTGGAACGTGTCTTTTCCAGTAGGGGAGGACAAAGGACGTGGGGTCAAAGGGTATGGATACTGGGTGCCCCAACCCCCGTTCACTGTAGTTATTGCCGGGAACCCGTCAGAGCCCCAGGTGATCGGAGCGAGAACTGGGACTCTGCCTCCGGGGTAGCTGTCGACAAAGGCCATGTAATACCAGTTTCCTGATGGAGTGTCGACAATCCCGCCCTGTATTTTGTCAGTTCAATCGTCTCCTTGATTATATCAGGGCTATATACCTGATGGGGCACACCACCTCCGCTAATAGGAGTTGCAATATTCTTCAAAAGTAGTTTCTGAGTGTATGGGCCCCACGGGCTGCTCGCCTTGAGAACATACTCGGCATTTGCGGGGAGCGTGTTGAAAATGTAGTACTCGCCATTGATTTTATAGAACCGCGAGCCCTCAATTGCTCCAATTGTGGAACTGAAGACCTGCTGCGTTTTCACCTGACTGAGCCCGTTGGCAGAGAGCTGGGCGACGGAGATGGTAGTCCCTCCGTACGCCACATACATTGTGTCGTTATCATCGATGAGCAAGCTGCAGTCATAGTAACAGGTATTGATAACACCACTCTTTGTCCATGGCCCTGTCACAGACGGAGCTGTGTAGATATATGTAGTGCTGAACTGGACGCACCCAATCCAGTACCACAAGCCATTGCTCTTACGATATCTGAGTGTCGAAGCCCAGATACCTTTGACGTAGGCCTGTCCTCCGTCGAGGTTATAGATAGAGCCCCAGTCCAACGTAGGCACAGAATGTCCGACGAAATCCCAGTTGACTAGATCGTACGACTGCAGGATAGGAGCCCCGGGGGAGTAATGCATCGTTGATGCAGAATAGTAGAAAGTGTCATTCACTCGGAAAATATCGAGATCAGCCAGGTCCTCCCACAAGACCGGCTGATTGAAATTTGCGCCAAATGCGCCGGCCATGAAAAAAAATGCGCATATAATTCCTTTCATCTTCATCTTGCAACTTACTTTGGTCCTGAGATTTGGTCTTGTTAGTCAATTCACAGGTTTGCTGTCTTCATTTATAGATCGTCGGGAGCATCTTCTGACACGGCAAGGATCTCGGTTCAGCTCCACTTGCGAAAGAACCTTTATTTACCGAGATCCCTGCTGTTGACAATGCATGTTAGGCATTCTGGGCATCATACCCTGCGATGATCAGCGGTCTTGATTGCATGCGTGGCCGGGAGGGTTGACGGAGCTAAATGATATCGAGCGTGAATTAGTACATTAGGGACTGGGTATGCACCAAATCAGCAATAATAGCAGGTCATAGCAGTAAACTATCATTTGGTGGAAGCTTCGGCTAGGAATCCAACTTTTCCTGCTTATTGCCAACATGTGGAGTCTCCGACACTTACGGACCGTTTTCCCGAGCAGCCCGTATGGGGCATATCGCCTTTCCAGACCTTCAATGTGCCGGACAAGCATTGCACGGTAGATAATAGACTAACTCCTTAGCCGAATTAATCTACACTTAATCTACTGGAAACAGTAGGCAGTGCCTGTTCCCCTCATCGTGGAGTCCGGGGAAAGGGTCCCCAGGAACGAGGTTTCTAATCGCCTCCCTCTGACTAGGCCAGACTACTGACATCTTCAGCCCAATGTAACTTTCGGCGCCTGTGTATCCGCCTGTGGTCTTACTAGAATAAACCGGTTAGCACGCTGATTCCGGATGGAATTGAGAAAGGGCTAAACCCCGCTTTGAATCCTAACTGCTTAAACCAGAGCCTATCGGATCGTTGTAACTACCACAGCCCTAGTTTGCTTATGCACCCCATATCAGAAGGGCATGTGTATCAATGGTGAGAGATGTAGATTGGTTGGCCACGTTGACCCGAGCATGTAGTTAGTAGATCTTTTCCAGGAGGAATCAGAATCCCCCGCAAAATGCCGGGCCCTACGCATGCTTAGCGGAGTATACCTCAAATGCCGCTCGAATGGACCATTCAAATTGGGATATTTGTGACAAGTTTGCTACTGAAGATTATGCGGGGTCGTCAAGGGCAATAATTGCTGTGGATCCTGGTGGTGGGTTGATTTTAGCCAAAAGACATTTCCCGTCATGTTCGACTATCCGGCTAATATCCAGTCTCTGTAGCATCCCAAAAGACCCAAACGAAGGCATTATAGATTACTGTGGCTCAAGCATTGCATTGATCTAGCGATTCTCCGGTGGAGTGCGTCTTCTTGCTTCGTGTTGTCGGCACCTCTTAATCATCGCCTCTGCCGACGGAGGTTTTTTGGGGCTTTAAAACGGGCCATCATTGTCAATACTCCAAGCATCTGTGAGTATCATCATCGGGCAAGCTCTCAAGTTGACCATAGTTTAACTGCATTGATAGGATCACACAATGAAGGCTATAGGGGCCACACTCCTCGGGCTCGCACTGGCCGTCCAGGCTCAGCAATCACTATATGGCCAATGTAGGCAACATACCATCCTTCTCAAGGCTTGAATCATCACTAACGTGACATAGGTGGTGGAAATGGTTGGACGGGCTCGACTCAATGTGTGTCTGGTGCATGCTGCAGTTCCATAAACGCCTGGTACTATCAATGTCTCTCTGGCAACTGTATGCCCAGCACGACTATGACAACCACGGCTACCCGCACAACCTCCACAACCTCCACAACCTCCACAACCACATCTGGCGCTACAGGAAGCCTGCCTACCAGTTTTAAATGGAGCTCCACCAATGCGCTGGTTGGCCCCAAGAACGACGGCCGCAACATTGCGGGAATCAAAGATCCCTCTATCATAGAGGTTGACGGCACATACCATGTTTTCGCAAGCACTGCCCAGGCATCAGGCTATAATCTAGTGTATTTCAATTTCACCGACTTCAGCCAAGCGGGGAATGCACCCTTCTTCTATCTCGACCAGAGTGGGATTGGGACGGGCTACCGCGCTGCGCCTCAGGTGTTCTACTTTCAGCCGCAGCAGCTGTGGTACCTGGTCTTTCAGAATGGAAATGCTGCCTACTCCACCAACAAGGACATTAGCAATCCTGCTGGGTGGAGTGCTCCTAAGAACTTCTTTAGCAGCGTTCCTAGTATCATCACTCAGAACATTGGCAATGGCTACTGGGTGGATATGTGGGTTATCTGCGATTCATCCAATTGCTACCTCTTCTCTTCCGATGACAACGGCCACCTCTACCGTTCACAGACCACTCTGAGCAACTTTCCCAACGGCATGGGCAACACGGTCATTGCACTTTCTGACTCGAGTCCATATAATCTCTTCGAAGCTTCCAATGTATATCATGTCGGAAATGAGTACCTTCTCATCGTTGAAGCCATCGGGAGTGATGGCAATCGGTACTTCCGGTCATGGACGGCACCCTCTCTCACGGGTACATGGAGTGCGCTCGCGAACACTGAAGCCAACCCCTTTGCCCGCTGGAATAATGTGGCCTTCTCCGGGACTGCCTGGACCAAGAGCATCAGTCATGGAGAGATGGTGCGCTCTCAGGTGGACCAGACCATGACCATCAGCCCGTGCAAGCTCCGCTACCTCTACCAAGGTATGAACCCGGCGGCGACGGGTGATTATAACTCTCTTCCGTGGAAGCTGGCTCTCCTTACGCAGACCAACTCTGCATGTTAGTTGGACACAGGGACAGTCATTCAAACATACTTGCACCTGACTGTGGCCATACTTGCACGGAGAGCAAGTCCTGTAGTTATTACTGCATTGCCATCTGAGTCCAAGTTAATTGGTGTAAGAATGGGAAGTCTGCCTATGGCTACCTGTTGACACAGCGCGTGTACATGGTGAATACTAGTACTTTCTAAATCTACGTGTATTCCTTTAAGCCGGGAGATGTATTTGATAACATATGGTAATGTACACTTGGCCAACGACAAGCTTCCGATCCATGTTGCTTGATATTACCCATGACACTCTTACTAGAAGAGAAGGTAAGAAAGCCCTCCTAAGGACATACTCGGCTAGGCTTTGTTGCGGTCCTTGAGTTAGATGAGCTACAAGGCAACAGCATAGCCAGTCAAGGATCAATAAGCTCCCATCTGACGTCCAATTTCAACCTCATATGTATATCGATCAATCAATCCGTCTTTCATCTTAAGACCATCCCAGCCATATTGCCTGAGCTTAACTCTTCAATACTCTCGCTTGACGTCCTTACTCTCCCCTGATACTGATACCCGTTGCTGCTTCTCAGGCCGCTTCCTCAGGTAATGGGTGTAAGAGCCACGGTATGCACCGCGCGTGTCACCAGTATAGTGGTAGTAGCTTGCATATCGCTCTTGAAGTTGAATCCCGGTTCACGCGATATATAGATATATTGCGGTAGCAGCTGCTAGATCTAGAAGTACCTGGGCCGACTTGCATAGGTAGAGAAATATTATCACATTTGTACCTCCATCCAAGGTTTCAACACCGATATACTTAACATTCTTGCCTACGCTATTTACTTGAATCCAGAAATGAACGTTCTGTGGCATAATATAGTCCAAAGTAGCACATACAACAGCACACATCAAATCTTCCGTCTAGCAACTGCCAACAAATGGTCTGCATTTCCCAGAATATTTTGGTCCTCGGCGAACCGAAGCACAACATCAACCCACCGCTCATAAGCGTCATGCTTCAGTTCACTAATTTTGGAAGCTAATCCACCTCCCAGGAAACCTTCACAAGCCACTAGTCTCTCCAGCTCGAGCTCGGGGACTGTCATGAATAAGGCCCTCACTTTTTCCGGATCTGAGTGGTAGGAGCAGATAAGCTGATTTCGAGTATATCTTCCCTCAGCAAGATAGTTTGCATAAAAGGAATCATATTCCCTTATGAGACGCATAGGGTCTCGCTGTGCAATGTCTCGCAAGTGAGCATATTGGAGCATAAATGCAGCTAGAATAATACCACTGGGCTTCAGAACTGCAGCACATGCTGACAGAACGGCCTGGCGCTCATTTTCCTCAAGAAGATGGTAGAGCGGACCTTGGCATAGTACCAGGTCGTATTTCTGTTCCCGGAAGATGACCGGATTGGAGCGGATGTCTCTCGCGTCGGCTTTGACAATAGCAGTCAGTTTGACTTGCGCTTCTTCAGCCGTACTGTGGGCTATCTTCAGCTCCCGGTCCGAAATATCGACGAGTGTGACCGAGTGTCCTAGCTTGGCTAGTGGCAAAGCTGTAAGGCATGAGTTCGAGTTCTTTGGCAATCACTCTGCTAAGGAAGAAATTCAATGTGACTAACCATATCGACCAGTTCCGCCACCAAGATCCAGGATTTCTAGTGCTTCGTCCTTACCCAGTTGGTCCAGATACTGAGTGATAATTCTCCAAGAAATTGAGAACTCAAGACGGCAACTAGTGAGACGTTCATGCTCCAGCGCTGCATTCTGATCGTACCAGGTAGCTATAATGTGCGCGTCCGTCATTATGTAGTCTCTGTTATGGATGGGGAGTTTCCGTTCAAATAATGTGGTCGAATAATAGAGTCATCAGATGTGCCAATGTCGCTGCTTAAATCGCTCGCAGCGGGCAATCTCGTGACTTCTTACGACCATAAGGATCCGAAGTGCTTACAATAAATGCCTCATAATGAATTCAACCAATAGATGTCCCTACGACCGCACTTCAAGGCTATCCAACTTTCTGGCAGCCTTCATTGGCCGTGTACGCATCCTGACTCCCATCGTCGTTGAAGCTACTGTTGTCATATGCTGTGCAGACAACGCCGGTCCCCGTCAGCTGCCATGGCAGGGGCTCGGTCAGCGTGCTCTGATCGCACGAGATGTACAGATCGCTGCCAGCAGTGTACCACTTCCAGGAGGCGCTCGTGCCTTTGTCGGACGTGCCAAGATCGGCGATCACCAGGCACTGATCGCTTGTCGAGTCCAGGTTCTGACCCTCCACCACATAGGAGTCACCAGTACAATTTACCTCGCTGTAGATGCTCATAGTCCAAGTGCGGTTGCGGTGGCCGTTGCCGCTGTGGTTATGGTTGTGGGTGTCAGGCTGGCCCATGATGACTAACTGGACAGATAGTCTGAAGGGTAGTCTGTCTCAACAGGCCAGGTGGTCATAGTCGTCATCACGGCACTGGCGGCCTCATCACCATCGTCATCATCGGTAGCAGCGCAGACCCCCTGACTTAGACTCCACTCCAACTTGTTGTTGAGGGTTGTGTTCAAGACCCGTTCACCAGTGCCGTTATTATAGAGTGTGAAAAGGCCGTTGATCTCAAAAGGAATTCTCGCGCTTTTGGGGGCCGCTGGCGCCAGGGGGAGATGCGGGTAGATCTTGCCAAGCGCGTTCTGGACGTACTTGGCGAAGGCATACAAGGTCAGACTGTCGGCGTTTTGAATGGTCCATAGGCCTGTGGCCCATCCCAAGCGCGCCAGTGCTTTGCACATCCGCGGCCCGTAGGCAGTGTAGTACCTCATGGCGCCCTTGTTCCCTTCCTCGTATCCCACCTTGATGTCAGAGACATGGTGAATATTATTTTCACTGCTGTCGGCTGTCGACACCCAGTTGATGTGTAGTAGTTCATGTATCCACACCAGGGCCTGATTGTTGTAGTAGTTATTCAGGTCAGAGTATTCCTGGGGAGTGTGCGTGGTGTCTGCCCAGTACATTGTGTCCTTTAGCGTCTGCAACGAGAAGTACTGCGGGCAAAAGTTTATGGCTGTGACCTGGTGTTTGGGGTCCTTCTGCACCGTGTAGGTAATGGTGTTGACGTCTCTCCCGCATGAGCATTGTAACCGTGGGTCATTGCACCGGACCGCAATCTTCCAGGCGAACCAGTCGAACGGGTCGAGAATCCTCCAGCCGGGCTGGATGGTAGCAAGGTTCAGATATATAGCCTTGTAGTTGCTCCACTGGTCCTGATTCATTGATGGTGGCCCCAGGTACTCGACAGCAGCGGCCTCGTTGAAGTTAATGCCAGCCTTGGCCACCTTATACATGTAATTCATAATCTCCCAGGACTCCACCCAGCCTGATTTGATCTGCTGTTTCTGGAGAGGGGTGCACCCATCCTTGCTAATCAGTGCTGTCCCTAGGATGGTAAGATTAAAGTTGGTGAAGTTGGAAGTATTATAACCACTCGCGGCAATTGCCTCCATAATCTCCTGCTCCGCCTCTGTAATCTTCTGCTCCGCCTCTGATATGCAGGTTCCAGGTGGACAGTAGCCTCTGCTGCAAGTGAAGTCACAGAGGTTGTCAAACTTCTTAGGCTGGCCGGGAGCGGCCATACTAGCACTCTCAGTCTGGGCCGGTGGTTGCACAAGAGGGCCTGTTTTGGTGCAGGTACAAAGATTGATAGGACAGTAGCCGAAGCTACATACATATGAATACAATCCGAGGACTGCGCCGTCTCCAGTGCCAGCAACGCAGGCTGGCGGCAGGAAGTCCGAGACTGTTGGCACTGGCATGGGATGTTCTGTCGTGTCACATCTCCTGGATGGATAATAGCCGTAGTTGCAGGCAAAGCTGCATAGGCCCTTGTAGTTGGCATCTTTCCCTTCTGCTGGGTAGCCTGTCGTTCCTGTTGCATTAGGCTTAGTAAAGGCAACACCCATCTGCTCGCAGGTGCATGCGCTGACAGGGCAATACCCATAGGAGCAAGTAAAGGAGCAAAGGGCATTAAAGTCATAGGCACCCTTCCCTTTAACACACACCTGCTCTTTCAAGTTGACTGAAGTAGAGGACGGACCATACCACGACCCTTGAACGCTTCCTACCCATGCATTGAAGTTGTTGAAGCCCCCATCACATGATGTAGTGATGTCCAGGGTTTTGCGGGCCGTCATCAATGAATCATGAACAAATAAATCAATGGTAACCATGCCAGGTGGTGCAGCGATGCTACCGAACCAGATACTAGCACTAATATCACCGTCCCCTTTAACATCGGTCTGCGGCATAGAGTCCCACTCCACAATATGATCATTGACATACACTGCAGCGTTGCCGTCGCTGAATAATGCCATAACCCAGATCTGGGCTTCCAATTTATCCTTTAGGTCGAATTCAATCTATAACTAAGAGGTAGTATTGAGTGTTGTCCCCCCAGCACTGCAATAGTCCAGCGGATTAGGGTAATACCAGAAGGTAGCTATATAACTAGAACTACCCGTCGAAGCACTTCTAGTTTTGTACAAATCAATCAAGAAAGGAAGCATATCGCGCTAGGCGTCATGAGGATAACCTAAGACGTAGTTATACAGAGCTTTACTAATATTAAGGGCAGCTAAAGCATTCTCACAAATGGGGCTAATATAATGGGATTTACTGTAATCATTCCAAGAAATGATCTCAACGAATTCTGGCATTAGGTCAAGACCGAAAAGCTCTTGCCATCGGTCGAACCAGAGGCTACCACCATTCCAAAGCCAGTTCTTATTGTATCCTGGCAGATTAGTGTAAAACCAAGGAGAAATAGCCATCATATATGGCTTCTCGTCCAGATATTGTATATATGAGGCATTGGTGTAGGTATCCATACCATGATTTCCCCATGGCCACGCAGACCAGCTGAACAAACGATCAGCAACGCCATTTGCTAATCCCACAGCTAGCTTGGCACTGACAGAAGACCAGTCCAGCATAAAGAAGCAATTTGTCTCTGCCTTAATTATAACCTAGTCATCTGCACTGCCAGGTCCTTTAAATATTGACATAAAAGGCCTCCCCTTATACTAGAAGTATGCAGAGTTAGAGCCATATTGCTGGATCATCTTAATTACAATATCTTTGTCCCAAGGTCCATTACCAGCATAGTCAAATAAGAAGAATAGCCTGAATCCCTTTGCATCAGTAGCAGTGAAGGCCATTTCCATGGAAGCATCATTGGTCTTATCTTCCCATGCCATGTTGAGGGCGAACGCATTGATATGGGCATCCTAGGCCAATCCAATGTCAGACTGCCAGTCAGAAGCAGTGTAATTCTCTGAGTTTATGACCTTAAATAGTGTTAGTGTCCTTCTCACTCATTTCAACAGGAAAGTTCAGAATGGACGGAGGTACCATGAAATGTGCAAACATAGCTTTTGCATTTGCCTGGTGGATGACCTGAAAGGCCATCACCATGGTAAGCACTGCAAATCAATTCATTGTTGCAAATTTAAGCGAGGGGAAAAATGTGGAAACAGACAACTATGAGACAAGTGCTCTTTTATATCTCTTTCCTAAAGGCCCAGTCGCCTCCATGGCTGAGTGTGTATTAACTGTTAGGGCTTGTTTCTAGCTCCACCTCAACCACGAGCAAGTGGGATTCTCAGCTACACCATAGTGTTCTTCCATAAAGGGTCACATCTCCGCCAACATTCCGACGCTAGGTAGATAGAAAGAAATTGCAGCCTTTGAGGTAGCATTTGTGGCGGTCTTGGAAGGGGACTAAATGACCAGTCTAGCATTGAGCAGTTTCGGAGAGCCCTAAGGCAGTATATGACAAACCCAAGTACTTCATCTTATTCTTCATTGCAGGTGCCAAAACAGTTGCTTTGTCTGGCTTTGTATTAGACCGCAATAAACGGTATAACAGCACATATATACATAGTTAGATTTCTTGTTTAGATGCTTTTACAAACGCCTGATATCTCAACAACTCTGTGAGCATTGGAGGGGCAAACTATAAGCGACATTATGATACTTCTCAAGACTAAATGACACTACCTCACTTAGTTGCCCCCGGCGGTTTTGTAGTGCGGTGGTACCTTGCAGGGAATAAATAATATTCATTCTGCCGCTATCTAGTAATTACCTGATATTTTGTATGACCTTCTACATTGATTACTGCCTGACATGGTAGCACCTAACCTGCATAGATTTGATTAGACCGGAAGGATACCCTCAGGGACTACCTCCTGGCAGCTTGAACTAGCCCTCATAGAGTGTCCGATAATTGTTAGTGATCATCTGGATATTTATCTAATTATCTTGGATCCGGTTTGTTATCTAGTTCTATGCTGTTTGGGATGTGGTTGGCTGAACCCAATGGTTCTCAAAGGAAAAAGCTAAGGAAGATCAAGATAGGGGCAGTCCTTGGGGTCAGCATAGAAGACACCTCCCAGCTTTTCAATCCACCTGCACCGTTCCTCCATATCATGCGCGTTGTGAATTCGTGCTGCCCCTATATCGCTTGCGTTACCCCATGTCGTGTGTAACACCCATACACCACCTGCAGCCGGCCAGCCCACTCGGAGATAGTCATCCGTAGACTCCGGGCGCTCCAGTCCACGCTCCAAAAATTCATCGGATTCGCTTCGCCACCAGGTAGCGCCGAGGCGACGCACTTTTAGACATTAGACATGCAATAAAAAAATAAAAAAAAAAAGGTAAGGGGAAAGGAGAATGGTAACTAACTCCTGTCGCAGTGTGCGTCCTCTTTCGCTTGCCAATCGGGATCTAACTTGGATGGGCGTTCGGTGTCATTGAACCGGTCGAGCCCAAGAAAGTCCAGCTCTACGCCGAAACAGTCACGCAGGACATAGATACCACCCTTGGAGGGGTACCCTAACACCTTCACCCCAGGGCCGGAGCCGTAGGCTACCCAGAAACGATCTTCAGGCTCATGTTGCACACAATCAATCCTCTCTATCTCTGGTTGTTGCTCCTGTGCTTGTGTTTGAGTTCGTGCCTGTATTGTTGTTTGGAATTGCTGGGGGAGAAGCTGCCAACACATAAGGACTATAACTGAGATGGAAGAGGGGATGTCAGGTTTTTAACTTAAAGCTTGCCGGAGATAAGCACCAGGGGATAGTAATATGGTAGGTCGGTGCACATTCGCCAAGTTTCAGAGTAATACTTACGGATAATACCACTAAGGTAGGCTAAACAGGTGTCCAGTAGCTCCGGTTGACATGCTCGCCAGCCTAGGGTTACATCTCCATGATCATTGCGATTAAATACTCAACACCACTTCAATAAGCAATATTTTTCCTTTAATTATCCTCATATTCTCATCTCAAAAAGCCTCAAATATTTATGATCCTTAATATCAGAAGCAAGCTTAAGGATAAAGGCCCGGTGTCAGGAATAATTACTTCTGAACGTGTTGTCTCTGACCGAGAGCTGTGGGGCCCCTAGGGGCTAATCTGATAGAGCTCTAGCCCGTCGCGCATATGTACAATTTCTCAACCTCCCTCTAATATTAAATAGAGGTTCCAATTTCCTCTTTCACGCTGACACGGTTAGCTCTAGAACCGTCGGTTTTGATTCAAGAGCGGCTAAATCATTTCTTCCTGGTCCTGTTTTGAAACTGACCGAATGCTCGCCAAGGTTTGTCACCTCAGGACAGTGATCAAACAATTAATAGTGGTGTCGAGCACCTGCTCCGGTACTAAAGCGGCCGCCGGCTGGGTGAAATTACAGGTGCCCTTTATGGCCCAGTAGCGGTCATTTTCGGTGTCGATTTCACAGGTTCTCAATTCTAGGTATTACCTCGGCACATATTCTCAGATAATTGGTTACGCAGCCGCCCACACTGAGCTTGCCTCAAAGGGGCCACCAGCCCTTTTTGTTTACTAAAAGAAAGGATTCTAAGGAGAAAGGACAAGTCCTTCCAGAAAGTGGGCGATAACTTTGACCGTGAAGGAGTGGGACCAATGAGTCACTCACTATTTTGCGCTTTTGTTGAGGGGCATCAAGAACTTCCCTTCCCAGCTCTTGCCCGTGACTTGATGGATCCAATCGTTTCCCAACAGCGGTTGAGCAGATTTCAAAATCTTCCAGCATTTGAGAGGAAAAGAAAAGGCCTAAAAGAGCATGGCGTTTCTTGAAGCCCCAGAATGCAATTCAGGCGGAATGCGGGGTCAGATGATCGTCGTTTGGACAGCAACAGCAGCAGGTGTTTGGATTGCCTGAAGGACATAACCCACGCCATATTATTTTTTTAAGTTTTTATCTGTTGCGTCCAACATCAGCTTTGCAGCTGCCACCTCCAGGGGTTAGGCGCATATCCATCCGACAGTGTAATCATGATATAAAGTGGTTCTGGAGTCCATAATGGAGTGCGTAACAATCGGATTCTTGAGGTGGAATGACTAGTCCAAAATCCACAGAGAAATATGATGGAAAAAAATCGGCATGGAATCCAAGTCTTAGAAATAGATGTCAGAGTCATTACCTCCTGCCGGGCTTTCTAGTAGAGTCCGATGCGTCAGTCTCTATGGTTTCCAATTTTTACATTAGCTAAGAAGACCCGAGAGCAACCGTCAGCACAGGAGATCCTGGGGAAACTAAACAGCCTGCAGCCGATCGTAGAGGACATCACGCTCATCAAGAATGCAGTCAACAATGTTCTCACTTCGCCCGCCCCCATCATGCCAAATGTAACTTCCCGGATCGCCTCCTGGGCAGATATAGTCCGCTCAGGCACACCCTCATACCCATCGACGCCGAACAGCAGAGCCTCCACAACGGCAGGCATCAACGACAGGGAAACAGTAGTGAAACTCGATGCGAAGGCTGCGGCCGTCCTCCTTTAGGTATCACCGGGAGACCTCCGTAAACGGGTGAATGACGCCTTAGGGACCCGGATAGACCTCCTGGGGGAAAACCCCCACGAGTTATAGCAGCTAAACAACTGAAGAGCGGCGACGTGGTTCTGCATACAGCGACCATGGCAGAAGCGGACACAATGAAGAGCACAGAAAGCGAATGGGTCAAAGTTCTCGGAATGACAGCCCGGGTGATGTCAAGGCAAGAATCCCAAGACCAACCGTGAAGGCGAGATAGTTGACCATCCGGTCGCAAACTGACTTTTCATTCCACAGACTACATATCTGATACGAAAGGATCAGAAAGGCAAAAATTGCCAGCAGAGTTCTGGTTCATGCCTACTGAAGAGCAGGGCAGTCTAGGTGCCTGACTTACTTGAAGATGTGTCGAGCAAATGGGTTTATGTGATATTGGGCGATTGGGTCTCCGGGGTAGGAATAAACTATTGAACAAAGAGGTGCAACCGGGAGCTCATCGTCTGATACTGATATTGTCTGCACAGTAGGTGCTGGGGCGAGTGTATCTGATGTGGCGGGCATGATGTTGTCCATTCGTTGAACTTGAACTGTTTGTAAGCGTAGGAGAACGCCTGGACGAAAATACTTAAGAGTATCTGATATCGGTCAACTACGTTGAGCCTGCTCGCCTTTCTTATGGCCAATAATAGCTGATTTTTGACTGTTGAATGTCTCATGGTTGTGTGGGCTTTAGAGTAGTACTAGAGGCGGATCTACCCGATTGGATCGCAATTATACTTGCGCAAACTGGTAGCGGATGGAAGGCTAGAGAATAATTATGTGTCGATCAGATGATAAAGAAACTGACAGAGTGGGAGACTCTGAGATCTCGCAAGAGATATCGAGCCTGGAGACTGTTCTTGGGACCAACCTAGGACTTTACCTATTATCAGCACACCAGCCTACTTGCGCATGGGACCCATGCTAGACATGGATGGACCCTGCATTTGTGCAGTGCAACGTTGGCCCATAAACTAACATTATACCTGATACCTAACCAATAAAGCAGTCGCTATTGTCCTGGGACGGTTAAGCTTGATAAGCGAAGCCAGAATGGTAAGGAGCCTCTGAGCGCAGCAAAGTCTGATAGATCCTGATATATACATGGATTATCAAGCTTGTTAGTTATAGGTCAATGTCAGACATGTCATTTAAGCGGCATTCGTCATGCTGTTGTGAGAAATAATTACACACAATGAACGGCTCGAATCCTGCTGGAGGAAAGATGGGCTGGGCCCTCCATACAAGTCAATTGCGAGAGCCGGAAGTATATCTATATATCCTCACCCTTCGTTTCTGCACACAAGGCTGACTATAATATTGAGCACATACTGCTTTAGTTGACTTTCAGGCTTATATCAGTTTACTCCTAACCTTAACTACCCCGCACCGACTTAAAGTCTGCGGTCTAATGACCGGACGGCCCATTCGCACGGAGGAAGTACCGGGGAGTATCCGGAGGACAGGACGCTTCCTTCGCTGCATATATATCTCTGCAGCCCCCGGAGAATTGGATCAATCGTAGAAACTATGGCCTACCCTGGACGCGCAGAATGCATCTGAAAGTAAAGATCTTCCAGATCCTAGCCCTCGCGGGTCTGGCAACCCCGTCGCTTGCAGGCCATTGCCACCAAGACTCGCCCATAGCCAGAACAAAAAACGGAACACTGTGCGGCGTACATCTGCCTTCGTTCGCCCAGAATGCGTTCCTGGGTGTTCCATTTGCGCAGCCGCCGGTCAACGATCTCCGACTACGGCACCCTGTTCCCTACAATAGGCGCTACAAAGCGTACCCCGCGACATCGCAGCCAGCCAACTGCCCCGGCTACGCCGGGTTCGACGTCGGCATTGGCCCGTTGAGCGAGGACTGCCTCTACCTCAATGTCATTGTCCCGGACAATACTTCCCCACATGAGTCGCTGCCTGTGCTGGTTTGGTGCGTTTGTTCCTCTGTCAGCTAGAGTCGAGATTGACAGTGACAGGATCTACGGCGGCGGATTCACAGCCGGCGGCGTTGCCGATCCCAGATACAACATGTCGTATATCGTCCAGCAATCTGCAGCAATTGGCAAGCCCATCATCGGCGTGAGCATCAACTACCGCGTCGCCGGGTGGGGGTTCCTCGCGTCGAGGGAGGTTCTCGCGGCCGGGGCGGCCAACATCGGATTGTATGACCAGCGGCTTGCCCTGCGATGGATCCGCGAGAACATCGCTGGATTTGGCGGGGACGCAGAGAAAGTTACTATCTGGGGCGAGAGCGCGGGGGCGTTCAGCGTGGGGTACCATCTTGTTGGGTTCGACGGGGAAAATGAGGGTCTGTTCCGCGCGGCGATCATGGATAGCGGGACGATGCTGGGGCCTGCGCTTCAGGATGCTGAGCTCATTGCGGGAGAGGATGGGTTCCAGGCGATGTATAATAATGTTACGGAGACGGTTGGATGTAAGGGTGCGGAGGATACGCTGGCGTGTTTGCGGACGGTGCCGTATGAGGTTCTATTTGAGGCGTTTGAGCCGCAGATCTATACTCCTATTATTGACGGGGAGTTTATCACGCGCAAGCCCAGCGAGGCGCTTGCGCTGGGTAAGGCTGCAGACGTCGCGGTGCTCGTTGGAGCGAATACGGATGAGGGAACGGCAAGTTTCTGGGGTCCGAGGGGGACGCTGAATACTACTGCAGACGTTGCTGCGTATATCCGCACGCTGAACGGTGGTGGGATGAGTGATGACGAAGTTGCGGAACTGCTGGCTCTTTATCCTGACGATCCGGCGCAGGGTTGCCCGTACGGTACTGGCGTCGAGCGATTCGCCAGTCAGGGCTGGATGTACAAGCGAGGCGCTGCCATCGCGGGCGACATATTTGTGCATGCTGGTCGGCGAGGGCTGGTGGAATACTATGCACGAAAGAACAATGCCAAAGACAAGCGTCGACAGAAGCCGGTGTACAGTTATCGGTTCGACCAGCCGCCCTGGAACGGGGTTCTGGAGCTGATTGCGACGGTGCCGCCAGTTTATAGCACGCACTACGCGGAGCTCATCTTTGTCTTTAACAATCCGTCGCAGAATCTGTCTAACTATATAGGACCGTATCCTTCTTATCATGAGCTGTCAGAGTTCATGTCCCGGTCTTGGGCCTCTTTTGTGCATGACCTGGATCCGAACGGGCATGCAGTGGACGGTGCTCCATATTGGCCGCAGTACGAACTGTCGCAACCGCAGAACATCGTCTTTCGTACCGTTAACAAGTCCAATGGGAATGGAAGCTACGTTGAAGAGGATACCTATAGAAAGGATCAGCTGAAGTGGTGGAATGCGCACTGGTCTAGTTTAAGATGCTGATCATTCGTTGTATTCCGTACGTCAGAACTTTACTAAACTAGTCAATCAATGGAAAACACGATATTTAAGTCGCAAGGCGATCAACGACCAATTATTGCATTACAATCTACACTGTCCTAGTGGACTAGCCTAGCTAAGCCTGCTAAGCAACTGGCTAGTAGACGCCATGACGTCGCCTGTGCACGGGCAGGAGAACAGAGCCAATCTACAGGCCGACAAGTGTCGAATGGAGCTGAATATCCAGTCTCCATTTCTTCAGTACGTGAAGTATCTCTAGGTTTTACTGGTTGATAACCTATTTTAGTTCAAAGCTTGGGCGTCATAACATTGCAACTCCATTGTTTACGGAGGACTTAAACCCCGTTACCCCATCCCATCTTCTACCAGTACATCCCACCACACACTCAAATCCTATACAGAAAACATGGGAATCCCAAAATACGGCGTCTGGGTCGCCCACCCAACGCACTACGAAGCCGAGACCGAAAAACAAGACCCCAAGTCCCCGCACATCTACCTGTACTTCACCGACGGCACCAGCACCAAACAGTACCAAGCCGCCATTAACGTCAAGTCCACAGACAAGGACACCAGGCTTGTCTTCTGGCTGGACCGCAACTTCTCCCATCCAATCGCGCAGTCCCTATCCGACCTCAATGGAGGGGTTACTCTTCTCAACAGCGAGGGGATGAAAGGACTGGATTACATCCGCACAAAAGGCCTGGCGGACATAAATGCAGGCAAGATCCTCCCGCACGACATCCCTGGGCCGAACAATGATATCCTGAATTCCCTTGATCCCATCCTTTCGACTGCGATTGCGCAAAAGGCAAGGATGTATGTGTTTGGGTCATCGTATTGGACGGGCATCCATGACGTGCATATGAACCAGGGGAGTCTCCCGCAGTATGAGAACGTGGTGTATGAGGATGGGGCGGTGATGTTTGAGTTTGAGGACGGGCATTGGGAGGCGGTGTTTTTGGCGTTTGCGTCGCAGAGGATTCCGACGGATGATAACGGAGAGGTGGAAGATGGGAGTAAGGATTTGGCGGAGATTTTGGGGAGTGGTTCATAGTTGACAGTAGTAGACCTCGGTCATGCGGCATTTTTATTTGATTGTGATGGTGGAGTCAGTTGGACGCTGGAGGACTTGCAGCCGTGGTGGAAATGGAGAGTCTAGTACTGATGTCTCCTGTGTGTCGATTACGCCAATTTGACTTGTATGGAAAGCTGGTGTTTCACATGATATGGCTATGTGAATGTGAGGATTCAATGCCTCAATCCGCCTGCTGTGTGTTGGTTAACGACTAACCCTCTGTGAAGTTGTCTAAGGTTGGCCAAAGACCCAGACAACCAAGCGACGGGCTGGACCTGCTACCCTCGCCGGACTCCACAGACCGACACGGCGGAAATAGGAATCACTCCGCAAAGCGCAAGATGTTTCGGTAAGATATACCCTCTTACTCACGCTCCCGCCTCGGACGTCGAAACCTCAAAGGTCCGATGCACACCAATCTTGGACAAAGACCGCGTAGGCACCGAGTGCGACTCTTCATCGAGCTGCTCCGTGCTCAGAGTCATGAAATCCGCGGCGTCGTTTCTCTCCGCCGAGATCGTGGTTCCAAGGTGGACGTCATTGGGGTTGCTCTTATGGTAGTGGCGGGACTGCGAGGTGTTGTTTTCGAGGTCACCCAAGGGATACCGGTGGTGGCGCTTCCTGCTCAGGGGGCCGGAAGAGTCGAAGATACGGTAGGAGGATCCATTGCGACTGTGTAGGATACGGAAGAGAGGGCGGACAGTAGCGAGACTGCCGGCTGTGATGGCGAGGCCGGTTTCGATGTTGGACCAGATTGCGATCTACATTGTCAGTATTCTTGCATCGTTCTAGAAAGGCGCCTGCAAGCTCACCTGGACGGTTGCATCTATATTCTGTTAGAGAAGATCAAATGTGACAGATGAGGATGACTTACAAAGGAAATCTTGATCGCGAATGGTTTGAACGAATGGAATCCGGATTATAATGGCAACGCTTGCTCTGACAAGGATTAATACTCATCCTGAAAGGCACAGGCATCTTAAAGGCACAAGCAGACTTACATGCATGCCATGCCCAGGAGACCCGCCACAGCGATCTTGGTCCTCTTGTTCATCTGCAGGTTGCGCACGAGCAGGATAGGCAGCAGGCCTACAGTCAGGTCGAAAAGCGCAGAAGACACGCTGAAAAGGTACAACATGATGATGATCGCATCCAAATATCCGCATTTGCCGTTGGTGTCGCCACGCATCCGGGTCCAGAAATAGGACACCGGCGAGCATTGGACCATGATGAAGATGAAAAAGATGATGCCAACAATGACTGTGAGCGCTGTGACTGCGTACATGATCCGTCTATGAGCTGGGCGAACCATGACACGCAGAAGGAAGATGGCGACAGATATCTTGCAGAGAATGGACGAGATTGCGTAGCCAATGTCGCAGAGGAACCAGTACTGAAGATGTCAGTGAAGTCTGAGCCTGAGCCATTTGGGATAGTACAAACCTCCATAGCGACTGTTCTGTGCTTTGGAGTCAAATCGGCGAGATGCTTCCCTGTTCCCCAGAGAGAGCCTCCGATCATGCATCCGGAGAACATGACATAGAATAACTGAAAAGTCAGCATTGTCTTCACTCCAACTCTCGGCAGGGAGATTACCATTGACAGAATCATGACTGTATCATCCCAGCCAAACGCCTTGACAAGACACAATCGCACATAGCATCGCAGGATGACCGCGATGCTTGCCACTGTCAGAAAAACGGCCGCCACAGCACGGACCGCGGCACTTTCGTCCACCATGACGCTGCTACAACGGGATGATATACAATATAACTGCGCTTGTTTCAGATAGATGCGCGCACCTCCTTGAGTGAAACGGAGTTGTTGAGCGTACTAAAGTCACTACAGGGATGGCCGCCTTTTGAATACTACTGAATTGAAGGGCCGCGGCCCAGGGAGGATTTTAGGTTTTGGCACGGATTCTGGCAATATTTTCTGTGGAACCTCGGACCTTCGTACCACGTTTAAACTGGAGCATTTTTTGGGTCGCCACCAGTAGCCGTTTGCCAGGCTTTTGGGACTTTGCTGTTTGAGGGTTCTATAGTGGGCCGTCCCATGCATTTCCACGGTTAAGCTCCCATCTATCTTTTATGACCGAGACAGACTACTGGGCTACTCCGATCCAGATCCGCAACGTCCTGACTCATGACCACTCATGCTGTCTTATTCCACGTGGCGATATCCTAAATCGAGCCATTAGTCACATTTGTGTGTTGAACGGAGCTGACGTCCGAGCACCACTCTTCCGAATCAGGAACTATACCCGTGGCCAATTGTTGTCTGGAATCTGAAGCTTTGCGAACGCGAACCATGGATTTGTGCGTCTTCTCGGCTGTAGCATTCGGCTGTGAACCTTGCTTGCCCCTGCATGAGAACTCGCAACTGGAGGCGATCAGCACTTCGTGGTTGCGGAAGTAGATTCGATCGCACGATCTATAGAGGCGATCAATGCAGGGGTCCCCTTCTTATTAGGTCTGAAGATAGAATACACTGGGCTAGGACTACTAGGCATTGTACTAATCCTCCATCAGAGAAGATTATAAAGCGCATTTTCAAGAAGGTGCACCGATAGTCCCATAAGGCCCGTGTTTTCAGACTACCCCCGAAGCCCTCCTGGCCGCTACTCAACGGCTTATCTGCCATTTCGAGAAATGCAATGCGTGAGAATCTATCATAGCGCAAAGTGGACCTGGATCAAATCCAAATCAAACCTCAAATCAGCCATTTTAAGGCCCTTAGCCCAGCAGATACCCTTTTTTTTCAGCCCATCGTAACCGATCACGAATACCGCTACTCACACGCAATACTCGAGCTCGGTATATGGGCCTCAAAATGAGGGGATGTAAAGCCTATTTTGCCTATCTCTCCAGAGGATTATTCAGCCTCTTCCTCTGTACTGTGAACAGCCTTGAACAGCAGAATTTCCCCTTCTTGGAGAGTGCAATCACATAATCAAATACCGCCATATGATTGGCCTGCTCGCTTATGACATCAGAGCCATCCGCACTAGACTCAATCAGGCCGTAGCTTGTATACAACCCTACAAAAATAGAGTAGAGGCAGGGATATCAAACAGACTGTTAGCGAATAGCTTAGCGCTTACACATGCACACTGCTACTGTGGTTAATACGATGGCAGGAGGGGGAAGAGATATAAAGGGGATTCCCTCCTGCAAGTCTCGTTGCCCCTGGAACACAGCAACTAGCAATTGGATTCAGCGGGTGAGGAAAAGCTCTTGTTTCTGCTCTGTGTAAGATGCTAACGATGCAGCGCAGTCAAAATGGCAGAACTCTCCAAAGAAGCCATCATCCTCATCGTTATTGTCGGCTGCGTGGTGTCGGTCCTGATCGGCTACTCTATCCATTATATCTCCTCGGGGGGCTTCCGCGATGACCAGACGGAAAAGGACATGACGTACGAGCAGAAGGAGTATATGCGGAGTCTGCGGCTAAAGAATATGGAGATGCTGGCTGAGCAGGCTCGAGTGAAACACTCCAGGGATCCTTGTTGAGAGGGAAGAGGAGGAAAGGAAGGGGTGGCTTGGGGGTGGCTTGGGTGCCATTCGTGACGACAGACCTGCTGGACAGGTAATCGTCTAATGCATTTGGCGAGACGATCGATACAATGGTGTTTGCATGTCACGAGCTATAGTGAAAGCCATGTAGCAAATTGACATGGCAATCATAGGGACATATGCGTCAATCGGGACAATGTCTTGGACCATTCACCACATCTTTGTATTCTCATCAAATCGATTCCATGAAAATTTCAAGTATATCTAATCAGGCGACTGATTCCACTTAGAGATGTCCATCACCTAATGGCCAGTGATCATCTCGCGGCCGGAAAACGTATAGCCATGGAGTCAAGATTCCTCCAGTATCAGTGTCGTAATAGGAATTATGGATTCGCTTTCACTCCCTGCGTATTGTCCTTCTGAAATAGTATACATCCGATAATTGCTTTCACCATAAGAACCTGCACAGTCAGGGCTAGAGTCATCAAAACAGACCCAGATTCCTCTAATCTCGTAAAATCATCCACTAATGTCGCACCCAGTGGATACTTATACAGCACCTAAATTGGAGGTGTCTTTCTCAATAATTCCAGGCCCTTCGGCGCCTTCAGCACAGCCACATGTAACAGCATTAATATCGGTCATCAACAACAAGAGCACAGGCCTCATCTCAAAGGTGAATGGCGGCGGCCTGCCATTCAAGCCAGGTGAAGTTTTAAGATATACAGCGGATGATTCAACAATGAGCTGGAATTAGGATAGAGAGGCATTATATATGGTCTCTAGCTGCTTAGTAGAAATAGCAGTAATAATTAACATGGCAGTGTGGAAGCAAAGCAAGAGAGAGGTCATGCTAATAGAAAGTTCTGACGGGTCAGATGAATTCATTAAGTTGGCAGGTGTGATGCCACTTTGCTAGTCATTTCTAGAGATCTTCCTGTTTGCTCTAAAATGTTGGATGAAACGTGTATTTATAGCCCTTAGTCAGCCCTAAGTTATAAAATGATCCGTAATAGTGTGCTAGAAGATCATGCCCTCTGTAATATGAGTGGCCTTTATAACATAGGCTAAGCTAAGTAAGGAGAATGTGTTTCTAATTAACTTGCCTCCGCATAGTGGTCAATAAGCTAGAGTACTAGTGTAAGGGATCACTATGGCTAGGACATAAGCCCTAAGATCTATTATTATTTTGCCTGAGGCAGATAGGATTAAAGCTGGATCTGGATTTTTGATTAAAGCACTAATAGTATTAATCATATCCCCCACACTACAGGCTCAGTTAATATACCTAGATGACAACCCCACCCCAAAAGTCAATGTCTCGCCCCCTAGCAATTAATGACGCTGTATGTTAGGAATAATGGGCAAAGGACTGCTGCTCTATCCAGTGGGATCTAAAGCAGCCAGTTTAGGACTAGAACCACGCTAGATGCTGATATTGAGGCATGACGCGATGGAGCTGGGCTAGTATATTAACACTTGTGTCTGTGCTGGTGCATTGAATATAGTTAGATCTTTCCTCTCCACATTTGATTTTACAGATTCTAGGACGGTCAGTGTCAGCTAAACAACGAGGGTCATCCTAGGAATCGCACATGCAAGTCGTGGCCAGAAGTAGTACCTCACCTGCCTCTTCTATGGGCTGCCAACAGTTGAAGAGAAGTCGGCCGAACCCCGCAGGGGAAGATGTTCATTTCCGCCGATTAGAATTGAAGTGATTCTACGTCCCGTCCATGTCTGATACCAGTAGTAGAAATCTACAAAGATATTTTTTACATAAAGGCATTCATCCATTGGGTTGCGTTCATCTCTTCGATGTGCATCCAACTTAACGGTTAGACGTCCAGACACCTTGGGTGACATTGTCATATTATTCTTTACCCCACGCTACTGCCGTAAGAGAGTCCGAGCTTGCAGATCCGGGGTAACATGTCTGTTATCCAGGAGCAAGTTCGTATCTGACTGCGTGCAACTCCCTACGCGAATGTTACATTGCAGATACGCGTGGGGGCTTCTCCAACACATTTCAACAGCCGCAAGAAAACGGTCATATCATCATATCTCATTGCCAAGAGAAATCACAAAAACCAACGAAACTCCCTCGCCTTGGGCCCATCCCTCAGCCTCTCAGTCGGCACCTCCTGCGCCCGCAAACGCACCCCATCCCTCCGATCCCGCCGCTTATTATCAACCCACATGTAACACCCCAGTAACGCAGCCAGACACGCCCCCGTGGCGCCAAACGCCGCGACAGTCACCAGCGCAGGCATGTACTTGGGTTTATCCCGCGCGCGGAACACATTGCTACTCACCAGCCCCATGAGATTCGCCAACGGCACCCCGATACTCGTCAGCAGCACGCGGCGGCTCTCGTCCGCGACATTGTTGTTGTACCAGGTGCTCAGCAGGACGGACGGCGCGGATGTGCCCCAGGTCATCATGAAGGTAGCGAAGTAGGCGAGGCGGATCTGCGCCTGGACGTCGTTGATGGAGGCGTAGATGATGAAGCCAGTGAATGTTAATAGAAACCCAAGGACGATGAACGGGGAGCGGAGGCGTGCGGCGTCGGAGCAGAAGGCCAACAGGAGGAGCATGACGGCGCCGGTGATGTTGGGCGCGACGGTGTAGAGGTTCGTTTTGACGGTGGAGTATCCGAGGCGCTGGACGATCTGCGGGAGGAAGAGCGCGACGCCCTGGATGGGGACTCCGAGGCAGATTTCGATGCAGAGGAAGGCGTAGGTGGTGGGATGCTTGAAGATGGCGAGGGCGTCGCGGAGGCGGAACTTGTCGTTGACGACCGCGCTGGAGTCGACCTGGATTCGGTGAAAAGCGAGGGCTTTCTCATCTTCGGAGAGGAATTTCGCTTCGGCGACGCTGCGCGGGAGGTACCAGAAGGCGAAGATCGAGAAAAGCACGGTGGCGCCGCCTTCGATGATGAAGAGGTATCGCCAGTTGGGGATGGAGGAGCCCTCGATTTGGAAGACGCCGAAGGCGATCAGGCCCGAGAAGGCGTTGGCAATGTTGGAGGCGGCGTAGAAGATGGCCAGCCGGCGGGCGAGCTCGCCGCGTCGGTAGAATGTGGTCAGGTAGTAGATGACGAGTGGGAAGAATGGGGCTTCGCACATGCCCAGGAACCAGCGAAGAGCAAAAATGCCGCCAAAGTTCTTGGTTGATGCCGACAGCAGGGTGAAGGAGCCAAAGCAGAACATGAGGATGGGCAGGACGCGCGCCGGACTGTAGCGTTTACCAAGCATCGCGCCGGGAGGCGCGAAAATCACATATGGAATAAAAAAGATGGACAGCAGCAGGTTGTACTCGTTGGGTTTGAAGTTGAGATCTATAACATTAGTTCAAGGTCTTTATGGGGAATGTGGACTTACCCTTGCTCAGTCCATCTGTTTCTGCGTTTCCCAGGTTTCCCTTGTCCAGCGCGTTGAAGAGATCTGATCAATTAGCAACGCTTTAGGCGTTTAAAACTGGCGAGACTCACACATCACGGCGAGGACAGGAAGTAATCGCAGGTCAAGCCGGCGACAGAGAGCCCGTTCGGCCTTGTGATCGACGACTCGCACAACATCCTCCACCACTCCGGGCGCAGAGCCGTAATTCTTCAGATTGTCGCCGCCCCCATGAATAGATTCATTGGCAGTGGATGTTTTTCTATCATCTCGGGTTGTGTCTGACATTATATTCGACGCCATGGTCCTGTCGATGGTGAAAGCTCAGGACGGATGCTGGAAGATATACACCACTCGACGCAAGGGATACACCGACTCTTTCGAGGTTTATAAATCAAGGAAATGACATGCAAGAGCAGTCAGATATATATCAGCACGATTGAATCATCGCTTATCATTGTGCTTGGCCAAAGGCAGAGTATCATCAGCTGGTTGATGTTAAGATAAGCAGATAGCATGGTGACACGGATCCTTGAAGATGTAACCCCCACGCTATTTCTCCGCATTATCCTGTTGATAGATGATCAATCATTCGTTGGATAGCACCTAGATGAGGGGAAGATGGATGGTTGGACGAAAGCGGCGATCCTTGTCAGATGAGGTTGCATCCGTGAGGAGAAGTAGGTACTATCGGCACGGTACCTCTCTAGCAGTGGCACTTGGCCAGAGTTTAAATATATGTTTCCTTCGCTTTACACCTGTGTCTTGCTATTTCTATGTTCTGATTAGTTGGCCCTTCCTGCATTAGCTAGTTTATGCTAACTATACATATTACTGCTCTTTCGCTGCCAAACGACAGACCATTAGTCAACCCTTTTTTTCAAGGAGTTGTAGCAACATTGCTTTAGCTTCTACCCGAGTAATAATTGTACAATATCCAGGGAAGAAGACTTCCACATGTGCCACATTTTTGAACTTTTATTGCACGATTTCACATAGCGATAGCTGGTGGTAGATGGCGTGCCTGCAATGTCTTACGGATTCCTCTAACAGATGTTGAATAGACAGAAATGCTGCTGCCAAACTACCTCAAACAGATTGGTTCTTGTAGAAACGGGAAATCTCTTCTAACATGGCCTTTCCCCCATCCTCCAATAACCGCCTCGCGACTTCAGCACCCAGCACCTCCGCGGCGTCGTCATCACCCACATCCGCCGCTGCCCAGGCTGATACCTGACTGGTGCCCAGAGGATGAACAATGGTACCTTCAAGTCGTAAGCGAGCTACAGACAGGGAAGCAGAGAGCTCTGGAGTTTCCGTAGTACAATTTACAGCGACTGGGGACGAACAGCCACCCTGGAGGGTGCGAAGCAGCGACCGCTCCGCAATGCACATCTTTCTAACGAGGGGATCTTCGATCCGCTGGATCATGGCCTGGGTGTGGGGTTCGTGCTCTCGAACTTCGATACCGAGTGCCCCTTGACCGACAGCATAAGGGAACTCCGATGGCGTTAGGCGTCTTGTGATACGGTGCGCCATGCCGATGCGGACCAGTCCGGCTGTAGCGACAATGATGGCCGCGTAGGGGCCGTTTGGATCGTCTAACTTTCGGAGCCGAGTATCACTTGCGTCGTATATAAGTCAGAGGATTTCCTCCAAAGGAGTAACATCAAAAGTATTATATGAGACTCACAGATTCCCGCGACATTCCTCAACCACCAACTGGGGATATCTAAGTGCCAGCAGAGCCTTTCGTCTCGTGGAACTAGTCCCCACCACTGACCCCGGCGGCAACTGCGCCAGATCGGAGTACTGTCCTCTCAGAGACTCCTTCACTACAAATGCATCGGTGGGATCCTCGCGATGCACAATGGCCCCCAGCACACAGCCAATCGGTAGACGTGTCGGCATATCCTTCAGACAATGCACCAGCAAGTCCAGCTCGCCCGAGAGCAGCTTGGCTTCCATTTCCTCCGTCCAGATATTTTTGGCCGCGTCGGACGGCCCTGCGAACTTGAGAAAGGGACTGGTCTTGTCTACGTCCCCGCTGACTGACACGGTTCGCCATGGGAATGTGGTTCCGGGGTTGGCGCCAGCCAATGCATTTGAGACTCGTTCAGCCTGGACAAGCGCGAGTTTCGAATTGCGGGTGCCGATGAAAACTTCTTGTTTAGTGGCCATTATGGAGAAGGATTATTGAATGTCGAACCGATTGATGTTGAAGGAGAAGAGAAAGTATGAAAATTCAGGCGACTGACTATTGTTTCGGACTCCCTCGGAGTGTAAATTCCCCAACTGGGTTTAGGACCGGAGTAAAATGCATGCTTCAAATCATCGCTTTGCATTTTCAAAGAATAGGACATAAGCTAAAACGTCAATCGAGCAAAAGACATACAACAGCATTACACCAGGCGCCGCGTTTGGGGCTTACCGCCCTTTCCAATCTTTGTTCAGAGCATTCCAGGCCCACGTTCACCTACCCAAATATTATATACATGAGCTAGAAGTAGAGTGGCATAACCGAACCGCTTAAATTGAATCCAACTCTCATCAAACTCGCAGCGGTTCGGGTTCGGTCCGTGCCTGGGGAATCGCAACAGTTCGGTGTCCCTACCCCCAACACGATTCGGATTTGGTGAAAACGGTTGGCTACGGTTGTCTCAGTTTAGTGATGATATTTTGCTTACTAAATGTGAAAGGCCTCCTAGTCTTGCTGGCCTGTTACAAGTGGGGCAGCCTCAATTGATCGTGCCCACCTTAGAGAGCCGTCCGGAGTATGTATGTCTTTCCCCGACTTTCGTGACTTATTTCTAGCTTGGTGTCAATCAGCAAGTTCTTAAACCACCTTTTGCTCGAGTATCTTGGACCTGCGTTTCGAGATCTCTCCTTCTATAACTACAGACTGGGCAATATTTCTCAAATACAGCTCTGTCCTCACTCCCCTTGTTGAAGCCCTTGAAAATTCATTGCCCCGCCTGGCCGTATCTGTGCCCTCGCCAGAAACTATATACCACCATTCTCTTTCAACTGTGCTAATTCCGCGAAATGGCCCGTATCCTGATAACCGGTTCTACGGATGGCTTTGGCCTTGAGGCTGCCCGTCAGCTGGTTCAGCGTAATCACACCGTATATCTTCATGCGCGTAACCAAGAGCGCGCAGAGGATGCCAAGGCAAAATGCCCTGGAGCTGCTGGTGTGCTGATTGCAGACTTGACAAACATGGCAGCGACGCGCAAACTGGCCGAGGAAGCAAACGCGATTGGTACCTTTGACGCCGTCATTCTTAATGCTGGATTGCTTTACGGCCCCTTCCGCAAGACGGCAGATACTGGCGTGCCGGCTATGGTCTTCGTCAACGTTCTCGCACCCTATATTCTCTCTTGTCTCCTCAAACAGCCTAAGCGTCTTATCTTTATTGCTTCCACCCTACACAAGCAAGCCAACACGAACGTGAAGGATATTTTCTGGTTTGAGCGTGGGGAAAAGGGATTCCAGGATTTCCCAGCATACTGTGATTCGAAGCTTCATGTTATACTTCTTGCTAATGCAGTGGCAAGGCGGTTTAAGAACACCTCCGTCACGACTGTGCATCCTGGATGGGTTGCTACCAAGCTTGGAGGTCAAGGCGCTACCGACAAGCTGGAGGATGGTGTCGAGACATACGTCATGCTGGCCGAAGGTGATTATGATCAAAGTCTCACCGGTGTCTATTTTGAACCCAAGAAGCAGATCGGTGAACCGCTTGATGTGACAAGAGACGAAAATCTGCAGGAGGTCGTCGTCAAAGCTTGCGAGGATGTCACTGGTCTTACGCTACCTTAGTAGCTTTATGTTTGCATATCGGCACCTGTTCATAATTAGCGTGCATCATATCATCTTAAACGCATATTCGAACTTCTAAATCTCTTTGAGTTTAAAAAAACCTAGGCCCGGGCTCTCATTGGGTTAGCTTAAATGACCTCCTGAATGGAGGCTGATGTTCCAATCTTGGACTTGCCCGTCTGTGTCTCAGAATAAATCAGCCCTAATGCAAGATAGCCTTTGCCACGGCGCATGGGTCGGCGACCGCGTGCTTCAAATAACATGTAGTTTGATAAGGAGGTCCGTTCGAAAAGTTCTTGCCCATAGGTCCTGTAGTAAATTACTAGCGCTGTTAATAAGAGAGCTTCCTCTCCAGGCATTAGCAGAGCATCGACTGTGGCATGGCGCCGCGTTGCTATCTCTTTTACAAAAAGACCAACTCCTCACTGCACTTGTAGCACAACTGGAGCAACAATGGTACATAGTTCTGCCAGTTTCTAGCATTAGTACTCTGACCTTGACTGTGAGCAAGGACAAAATTAACACACCTAAAGCCTCCCTCATAACATTGAGAAGCTTCTGGCAAAGACAGAGCACATCCATAATAATAACAACCCTTTTGTAGTCAGAGTGCCAGTATTCTTCTACTCTGAAGTTTACAACAGTCGAGTGGAGATTGACGCATTGCCTGTGACCATTGAAGAATGGAGAAAGCCATGACCAACTTAGAGAGGCCTACCACTTATATATTACTCAGTTTTTGTCTTACCTATATGTCTATTATTCTCCTTATTTTGCAGACACGGGCACTACATCATTGGTCCATACTGTATCACAACTGCCTGCATTATATACTCATCCGTCGCTGCAGGACACTCTTGTCGACCAGTAAGATATATCAGCAAATCAAGCCCATCTATAGCTAACAGGCCAGCACACTTTAACTGTTACTAGACACGGTCAAGCATCTCTTCTCCTCTTCGCCTCACTCTGAATCCACTCCTCTGCTTTCCCCTTCCACTTCTCCTCCCATCGTGACAACGCAGGTCGATCCTCAACCACATCGTCACTCGCCCACTGCATTCTCGCCTGGTCCAGAGCCCTGTCCGTCTCATTATCGGGACAGACGATGTAGAACGACCCCTTCTCCATTCCTTTGACCAACTCCTCGGCAACCTGACTAGGGAACCACGCCCCTTCCATCTTCTTGACGTCATTCTCGTCCGTAGGCCCGACATTCCCCATAAGACCAGTCCATGTCCAACCGGGAATTAGCAGGTGCACCGAGATATGAGCCGTAGCTGGATCCGACCGCAGATCATGCGCTAGATGTTCGGTCATATTTTTGATGGCCGCCTTGGAGGCGTTGTACGCCGGGTTGGCGCCTCCAGGGGGGTTAGTGATGCCTTGCTTGGAGCCACTGATGACTATAGATGTAGGAGTTGGCGATGAGCTAGTTAGCAGCGGAAGGAGCGTTTCAAGTCCGT